TTCATTGAGCACCCCCAATTACCCTACCCCTACCACCTACATCTCTAGCCCCCAAGTCTAAAATTAGCCAAAGATAGGGAGGCAGTGTGGAGAAACGGCCTGAGGAAGAGAACCTTGGGACTTACTCAAGGATCCCTGTGCTGAGCACTGGGAAACGGGTCCAGTCCTCCAGTTCTCTTCTGGCTGCATCTTGTGCTCCACTCCAGCAGCTCCTAGGTGTCGACTGGCCCCCTAACTGCTCCTGCTTTTCTCTACTCACCACCTCCCTCCATCTGCAGCCCACTTGTGGCACCGTCACTCCCCACTGGAACACTGAAACTCAGGGTGAAGATACTCATATCTAACTCGGGGCACTGTCCCTGCTCGCAGCCCTGCTGCTTTCACCACCCACCAGCCATGACTTTTCTTAGTCACTTTACTTCTCTAAAACAAAGTTTCCTTTCTATACAATGCAGTTGGCAAAACACTGGTGTTAAGTGGCAGAGTAGTGGTTACCTGTGATAGGTAGGGGTGGAATTGGGCATGAGGGGCTCCTAAGATGCTGGTTATCGTCTCTTGATCTGGATGCCAGTTTCTTAGGTTGGTTTACTTTCTGAAAGTTTGTTGAATTATATACTCATGATTTGTTCACTGTTCTGTTTGTATGTTATACTTTATATAAAAGTTCACTTAAAGATGCAGTTGGCAGTCTCAGTATTAGGATAGTTCTGAGAATCAAATACATTAATCAATTCAGGTGACAGCAGTTTGAGAGCTGTAAACAAGTAAGTGTAGCTGAAGGATTGTCATGATCCAAAGTTATCCACCTCTAGATAAGTCCTGGGTGTGGCAAGACTCTTATTTCTCCAGCATTATTGTTCAATAGATGTTCCAGTACATGTATCATATATAAATATATCAAAACTGAAACATTTTCCTTCAAGCACCATGGCTTTTTATTTTAATCTCTGTTCTCATTTTTTTACAACATGGTTTTTTTTTTTAATATATACATCCTTGCTAATTGGATTCTGGATATGATTTAGCCTCTACTTGGCTCAAAGTCATTGTTATAAACCTTCGTTTTTGTATCATGTTGTGAAATGATTCTGGGACTGATTATTTTCTGCCTCTTGGATTCATGTCAGCCTGTCAGCTGTCACTTCTGCCTCTTATGTGTGGCTGTCACACTTCCAGTCTTGTTTGAGCTAGAACAGACAGCCATGCTTGGTAAAAATTGCTGTAGTGTGAGTCAGTAAGGCTTAGACTGAGGAAGAAAGCACATGGCTGCCTGCCTGGGCCTTGGGCTCAGAGAACTTCACCAGTGGAGGGTGAGGTCTGGAGTGTAGGGGCTGTAGAAGGAGTGAAGGCAGATCATGCAGATCATGTGATGGCCGGGAGAATCATGACTTAGGCCAGCCCTTCACTTTAAGGGTGAGAAGAAAGTCCTAGAGACAGTGGTCAGCCTGACCTCTAAAGGGGGTTCCTGCTACTTTGTATGTCCCACACTGCCCGGCTCAATGCCTTTTGCCTACAGATGCTGGTGCTTCTCTTTGCTTTAAGATCTCAGGAAGCAGGAACTGAGCGCAGAGAAAGCTGCCCATGCTGCTGGCACCAAGATGCCAGATCGTCCGAGAAATACGATAGAAAATATCTCCCCTCCAGACCTCGGCACTCCCATTCTCAACATGCCCCTCCAGAGTTTAGGGCAGGCATTATGGGGTCACGGGCAGAGGATGAGAAGCCCAAGCTTTCCTTGCAGGTCCATCCCACAACAGAGGGAGGCCTGGGCCTGAAAGAAGTCAGGGAACTGGCAGGCCCATTTCAAAAGCTCCTATATGCTGCTTCCTGCCTGTGTACTCTTCTTCCTCCAAACTGAGCTCTCTGTGCTACAGAGAGAACATGAGAGAAGGGAAGGGACAACTTCAGACACCAGGGTGAGGGGACTCCAGCTTCTCTTCAAAATGGATTCCTCACTCTTTCTTCCCCAAACCCAGCAACTGCCACCTTTTCAACCCCAACCCCCATCCCGGAAAATACCTGGAAGGAAGTGAGTGCTCTGAGGCCACTAGCCGGAAGAGGGGGTTTAACTGTCACCTCGTCCCTGGGGGCTTGAGTAGCCTTGAATATCCGAGGTCATAGGGGAAAATGCAAATCCATGCTTTGGAGAGAAGAACTCCACAGAGAGGAAGAGGGTGGCAGCCATTGCCTAGCCTTCCTCCTGGGCATGTGGTCCCAGCAGGGGCTGGGGAGGCCTGTGGCCAGGGTAAGATCACAGGCTCTGGGAGAAGCCAGCAGCTGCCCCCATCCTATGCAGGCAGCTTCAGCACTGGCACTTTCCCTGGGCAGCTGGGTAAACTCACTTCCTCAGCTCTGCACCCCAGGGGAGCAGGGACATGGGGGCGGGGTCTGGAGCTCAGTGGAGTCAAGCGGAAAGATGAGATGGACGAGGTCAAGGTGGGCATGTCACATCCCTGGTGGATGAGCCTGGGAAAGTCATGTCTATTCTGCTGCTATAGCAGGTAGGACAAAGCTTACCCCTCTGGCCTCCACCCTTCTCCTTCCCGTTATAGACACCACAGGCCAGAATTGAGAACCACATGGTGTCCTTGCAAAGGGATCTTTCACAGCAACTAGGAAGCAAGAATATGAGTGAGGAGCAGCCTTTGGGTCAGTGCTTCTACAACAATAATCTATTATTATATCAGTATGGCAATTACCAGTTTCAAAACCAGCCACCTTCATTACTGCATTTTATCCTCAGTACCACCCTGTGAGGCATTCTCCCCCTTTCACAGAGGAGTGATGAGTTTTAGTTACATCACTTGCCCAAGGTCAGTGGCCAGGCAAGGCTATGCTGGTGTTTGAGCCCAGCTGCCCTTATGGCCTCCCCTCAGTTCTGCCACGGCAGATGGGGATCTAGGGACCATGACTGAAGCAGGGGTGAGGAGGTCCTCCTTGTTTTCCTTTTGACCCCTTGAGCCCCAACCTGTAGATGGGGCTCTTGAGGGTACAGGTCTACTAACTTCAGAACCGAGG